GACTCGAGGAATGATGAGAGTCTTAGTGAGAGCAATAGCCACTTGACGATATATCTGCGTGGAGAAGACGATCGGCAATCCGTGACGGATCGAGGACTCTTTCATGACGTTCGTCAGGGCTTCAGTAGGCCAAAAGCCGCTCGCCTGCAGGCTTGTAGTCGAGGATCTGCTGTCGACTTGGTCACTATTCGCCGGCGTCTCGCTAGCTGTGGGCTGGGGCTCTTTGTCCAGGCGGGAGGAGCCCGTTGCCCAGAGATACTGAGGCTGCTCAGCTCTCTTGTGGTGATATTTCGCGCGCAGATGGTTAGCCAGCGGACGTACGCAGACGAGGTATTGGTAGAGCATGAGGCTCACGGTCAGGGGGAGAAAGCGGGCTACGTAGAAGGGCGTTTCTAGCTGGCCATGGGCCTTGTTGTACTGGATCAGGGTGCAAAAGCGGCCCCAGTGGACAAAGAAATTGCGCGTGCTGTGCTGGGTATTGTAGACCTTGCAGGAGAGGAGTTCAGGGCCACGGCATGGCTGACCACCGGTCAATTGGGTAACCAAGAGCAGGGCCGACAAGAACCTATCGTGCAGCGAGAAGAATTGTGGCAGGTTCCTGGCAGGTTTGGGCCCTTTCTTTAAACGAGCCAGGACAGCACGGCCAAAGGCCACCGTACAGGGCTCGAGACGTGGGCGATTCGCGGGCAGGGTGAGGAAGGAAAGCCCTGGAGCCTCCTCGCTGAAGCTGTCCTGGATGCTGGCTAGCGGGGGCAGCTCCGCCAGCGAGTAGCCCCCGAGCAGCTCGTCCAACAGGCCCTGTGCGTCAGCGACACACTGGCCAACCCAGGCCTGGAACTGGGCGACCTGTAGCGTCTGGGCCTGCTTTCCCTCCACGCGAAACTGGCTGAAGTCATCCGACCAGTTGACTAAGGTTGTTGCTACCTTGTAATTGCGAGTGGTACGACCGAGGATCTGCAGCCTCAGGGTCTGTGCAAATACTGACGTCGAATCCTTCAGTAGAACCTTGCACCGAACTGCATGCAAACGGGCAAGTGGATCAGGATAGGTCTCCCGGCCGGGCCACTCTAGGTAACGATACGGGGACTGGGGAAGGGCGTACTCGAGCACGAACAGCCGACTGATCCAGACGAAGCCGGCCAGATGACCAGTCGCCTGTGCAATGGGAGCAAAGCCCTGACAGTGGCCGATTCGGCGCTGAGTCGTGTGGCTTGCGGGCGTGTACCGCAGGCTGAGGATGCCCGAAAAGTGGATGAATAGATTGTCAATACTCTCGCTCCAGGCCTCGGATTGCCTCGCAACCAGGCTCCAGCTGAGCCCCATCAGCATCTCCTCCAGGGCCTTGGAAGGGGGCAAACCGCAGTCAGCTCCAGGGTAATTCCAGCAGTCGTCACGCTCCCGCAGGCCGGCTGCTTCGTCGTGGAGCCGCGCAGCCAGCAGCCAGGCCTCCTCCAACTGCTGGCGGTCCCTTACGGTCAGGTATCGCAGGACGTCCAGCAGCTGTTCCTCCGCGACTAGAGAGCGAGCCCGGAACAAGCACGCCAGGAGCCGCTTCCAATTCCCCACGTACTTGTCCTCGGTACTTTTGGTTCTCAACCGGCCAAACTCCTTCGGAAAAGGTATGTGTCGGGTAGCAGTAAGCAGCCAGCTTCGGAAGGCCAAGGGAGTTGTATCTAAAGTGCTAAGGCACCGTTCATAGGCCTGCTGGAAGGATAGCAGGAGGGATTCGAGGACTAGCTCGTCGTCGTCCGTCCACTGTTCGCTCCCCAGCAGGTCACTAGCCGGGTCCAGATCAGGGAGCGTGCAAGGGCGGTTCGTCCGCGGCAAGTAGGTTAGACGTCGGGTAGCAGCCCACTGTGGGAAGACTTTGAACCGGTCAGGCCAGCCCGATAAGGCCAGGAATGGGTTGCGGTCCTCCAAGCGCTGGGTCCCGGATAGGTGGCTTTCTGTCAGCAGATCGAGCGCCGTGAGCTCGTCGTCAGAAGGCACGTCGGCCACGGGTGGTGGGAAAGGGAGAGTGCCATCAGGCGGCGGACTGCTTGTGGATGGCGGGCTGCCGGAGGGATGAGCAACCCGCCACCAGGAGTCTGGAGGGCGGCCGTAGACGTTAAACCAGCTCTGTATAACGACCCGTGTATAGTGTCCCAGTGAGTCGCCCGACGTGGGAAGCGTGAGGCCATGCCTGCGGTTCAGATGCTGCCTCATCGACCGCTGATTCGGGGTGTGGTAAGGCGCAGAGGGCGAGCAGTTTATACACTGGAAGCCCGCGATAAGGGGGAGATTCGGCAGCGGCTCGCCACCGGATGGGGGGCATGCTGGTCGCAGGTGCCGGGACTGCTGGATGGCCTCGAGCAGGTCCGGCGGGGCCGATTCGGGTGCGAGCCAGCTGTTATACAGAGCTCTAGAGATATCATGTTTCTCGAAGAGATGCTTAGCCAAGGCGCTCTGGCCACGGGAGCCCACGATGCCCTGGCAGGGACGGCAGAGGACGAAGATCGCGTTCGGACAGGTGATCGTTGAAAGGACGTCAGGGAGCGAGGGGACAGCCTGGTAGAGATAGGAAGTTAGCAAAGCGCTCAGAGGCTGGGGCTGGAGCCAGAGGTGGGTAGGGGACGAACCGGCAGCGATTTGATGGGGATTCGGACGCCCAGCACGGGGCGAACCGTAGAGGAGTCGAGTGCTGTAGGGTCCATGCTCCATGCCCAGTGGGTAGGCCACGAGCAAATCGTAGAAGATTTAGGAGAGCGTCCAGGAGAGGGCAGTAGACTAAAGGTGAAAGAGTAAACAGATGTCGATGAGAGAGTGTATTAATAGGAATCAGGAGAAGTGTTAACGTATAGCATAAGTGGTGAATAGAAGGCTTACTAACCAGCAAATAACTCAGGGGTTGTAAACGATACACGGACAGAGCAGACGCGTGTAAGAGGTGTGTACCGAGGGACGCGTCGACGGGTAGGACGCTATCCGTGGATGAATAAGGAGGGAATAAGGAGTAAACAGGAGGCGAATAGGGGGCGAATAGGCGGGGAATAGACAGGTAACGGCCCACGTACTAGTGTTTACGGCGTCGCCGGCCCGTGCACTGGTGTTTAGAATAATTATTGTACTTAAAATCTTCTTTGAATAACTATTTGATTACCTGAATCAGAAGTACTTAAAACATAAATAAGACTATTTAATAATATTAAACGAATATTTTCTAATGATCTAATTTGTATATTAATATAATTAATACTTAAATTGTTATTTAAATATAAAACTAAAATTATTTAATTTTTGATTTTTATTATTAAATATTTTTATTATTATATAATTATAATATATAAAAATTAAATCTTTAGAAAAACTTAATTAAATATTATTAAATAATATAATTTATATTTTCTTATAATTAATAATTATTATATAATTCAAATATAAAAATATAAAATTAAATTATTAATTAATTAATATTTATTATTATATTAAATTAATATTTATTAATATTTTAACTTAATTAAAAAAAATAAATTTATTTATATTAATTATATAACCTCAGATTAGACATTATATATTAAGTATATAATATAAGTTAAATAATAATAATAAATAGTCAGATTAAAGTTTTAAAGTTTATATAAGAAAAGATATATTATATATATAATACAAGTTAAGGTTATTTTCTAGAATTACAAAATTCGATAATTTAACTATAAAAATAAAAATAGTATATTTAGTTAAATTTATCCCTGAAATTTAAAGTAATTTAGTCTATTTAAATATAAAATATAAAGTATTATTATATTTGAATAATTAATATAATAAAATGATTAATACCTATAAATTAATAAAATATATTCATAAATATTATAATATTAAACTAATAATTTGTTATTAAGTTAAATAATATACAAAAAAATTTAAGTATAATTATAATTATATAATAATTTTAATTCTCAAGAATAATTTAATATTATAGTTCATTATCTTTATTATAAATAAATATTAATATAAAGAATATTTATATATAACATAAAGTGAGTAGAAAATCTAATAATATATAAACAAGGACTATAAGAAAAAATAAACAATAATAAACAAAATATATATTAATATATAATTATAAATATAATTTTAAGATAATAAAAAATAATATTAAGTAATAAACAAAAATAAATAAATTAATAAAAAATATTAATATTATTAGGTTATTATTCTAATGACTCATTCCGTGGTACGATGCCTCGGCCTGGTCTGTGTCATGGTGTAATGCCTTGTTCTTTTGCGGCACCTTCCTTCTTCGTGGCGGTCTATCTCAGTAGTGGAGAGGGAGCTGCGAGGAAGCTTTCGGTGTTATGTCCGTAGAGAATCGAGTGACTTATCGAACAGTGTTAACTAGGTATGTTTGTGTAATGCCTGGCCGTCAAGACATATTATTGTGAAGTTGAGAAGACAGGTTGTTTTACGTTTTTTGAGCTAGATATCTCGACGACCGGGTGTCGTACGCCGACGAGAACTATATGCGTGCGTAGGTCTTGGAGTTAGTTTTCCAACGATACTGCTCACGAGCTTGTACGATGCCTGGTTGCCGATTTGGCTAGTTGTGAAGTTCGGAGTTCACAGGATCTGAAAGTTATTAGTCTCCTGATGTTTCGTCTTGTTCTGAGCTGGTGTTGGGCCTCGTTCTAGCTTAATCGGAAAAAGGCGACGCTTTATGACAGTCTTACATCTTAGGCTAAGAAGTGTTTTATGTATTATATAACAATAATTATAATTAATAATATATTATAAGTTATAACTAATAACTAGAATCAGTAAACTTATTAAGACATACTTTGATGTTATAGATAAAGTGAGGTTTTCTGATTCTAATAGTATAAACCTTATCTTATTATATAATGATTTTATTTTCAAATAGATAAATCGGATTTTTTAAGAATATAAAAAGGGAGATATATTAAGTTTTATTTTGAAGATCTATTTTTATAGTTAGGTTTAAGAGAACGAGGTATAATAAGACGGGTTATATGGTAAAGTGGTTAATATTTTATGTTCTTGAATATAGAGAAAGAGAGAGATCTGAGTTCGATTCTCAGTAGAACTTATGTAGTGTCTTTCTTAATCTCCTTTAGAAGGGAGAGAGACGAAAGACATTGTAGCCCCCTGGTTTTATAGTATAAATGGTTATTATACTCTTAAATAATTAAAATCTTTTTTTTCCTTCCTCCTTTTCTTTTCTTTTCTTTGTCTTCTTTTTTCTTTCTTTTTTCTTTTTCTTCTCTTTTCCTTAATAATAAGTTTAAATGTACTTATACTAACTTTACATTTAAAAGGTTAAATACTTTATATAATAAATATATAAAAAAAATGTTATAAGTAGTAAAAATAATTATAACTAATAAGCTTACTAAGATATACTTTAATATTATAAATGAAGTAGAATTTTCTGATCTTAATAGTATAAATCTCTTTATATAATGTTTTTATCTTGAGATCTTAAGTTTAAACTTAAAGTAAAAAGTATTAATAAATCTTTTTATTATGAATTAACGTTTAATAGCTATCTGTGTAAAGTTGAATATATTTAGAGTTATACGGACAGAGTAAATAATACTGTGGTAGGGAAACCCGTCATGTATTAGTAATAGTTATGCTAAGCTGAGCTAGTATATATTGATGGCAAGCCCTGGATAGTAAATTAATAACCTTTTTATACTTAACTAAAGGAGTGGTTCGTTCGTTTGCTTTGTGTACTTGTTGTTTATATAATTTTGCGTGATTCCGTCATATAAACTTTATTTCTGTATGTTCTAGTTAGTGTTATTGTTATACTTATATTATTACTTCTATAATAATAATATTATATAATAAGATTTATATTAGTTAAAAATCAAGAAATTTTATTTTATTTATAACATTAAAGTATATCTTAGTAAACTTGTTAGTTATAGTTATAACTTGTAATTACTTTTTTGTAATTATTTTATATAAAGTTAGTTTTAACTTTTTAAGTATAAAGTTATTATAAGTATACTTAAACTTATCAAAAAAGAAAAATTTTAAATTATTTGAAAATATAATAATTATTTTTATTTATACTATAGAACTAGGGGTTACAAGATCTTTAATCTTCTCTTTTTTAAGGAAGATTACAGAAACTTCTGTGTTTCTGTCATCAGTCGCTTTATCATCTTGAATATCTGTTCTGTATTTTTTAGGCTAAACCCTGATTAACTATGATTTTTATGTGTCATAAGCATTATTAATACTTATTTCTAAAAAGTCTTCTTTATTCAACGAGTCTTTTTTTCGTAAACGTCATTGCTGGCCATGGAGTTATTAATGTTGATGTATATAATTTTCCGTTATTTGTTTTTAGTAATAAGATAGATTTTCTTGTCTTACTTTATTTCCTCGTCTTTTGGTGCTTGATCTCCGAGAGACTTTAGCCTTGTCTTGAAGTCTCTCCTCTATTTTTGCATGACTTTAGTGGGATCACTACTGTAAATCTTTTTTCTTTAGGTATCAGTTGTCTATTTAGCGTTATCATTATTATTATTATTATTATTATAATTATTATTATAACTAATTAAACAAGAAAAATAAAAAATTGTAATGTTCAAGACTAGTCTAACCTGAAGTTATTTTCAAAGGTTAGTTGTTTGTCTTTGAACTTATTAGATTTATCTTTAATTGTATCTAACTACTTATATCCATCTTTCCTTTAATCTCTGTAACATAATTCTATACATTGTCTCATCCTCAGGATTCTCCTTTTAATCATTTATAGTATTCTCTTTTTCTTCATCAAACCATGCCCATTTGACTGCTTCAATAAGCAAGGGACCAGGAGATGACCACTTCAAAATCTCGACTAATAACTTCCACAATTGTACCTTATACGAGACCGGGATAACAACTTGAAAGTTAGCCATAATGTAAGATGTACTAACTTGGATTAGCTAATCAGATCTTTTGTTTATTATCTTTCTTACTTTTCTTCTTTTTTTTTTTTTTAATTCTTCTCTATTTGGTAATAGTAAATCGAGAGTTTTACTGGCTAAGCTAGACAGTCAGTAGTTAGTCATGTAAGACGAGAACTCTCTTAATTTACTATATATATCATGCTGGTATAATCCAGGAATGTAGTCCAGTAGTATAACCTAGTTGTATAACCAAGTTATATAATCTAGTCATATAGCCTAGTTATATGACCTAGTCATATAGCCTAGTTGTATAACTTAGCAGTATGGCCTAGCAGTATGGCCCAGCGGTATAGCCCAGTAATATAGCTTAGTTGTAGAACTTAGTTGTGTAACCCAATTGTATAGCCTAGTCATATAACTTAATTACATAGTCTAGTTATATAGTCTAATTATATGACCAAGCCATGTAGCCTAATTGTATAATCCAGTTGTAGAACTTAATTATATGACTTAACTATGTAAGTTTTTATTATCCGTTTTTACCTTATTAAGTTAAGTTTAAGTATTTAGATTTAAGTTTTCTAATATACTTAAATCAAGTTCGGTAAATATCTCCAAGGCTTTAATACTATCCGTATTATTATAAGCTATCTTAGTACTTATAAGTCAGCAAAACTCCTTGACATCTTCTATTTTATTAACATTAACTTTCTGTAAACATTTTAAGCTTAACTTGTTGTTTACCACTAAAAGTTGAGTTAGTAAACAAGATTCTAATATGATATCCTGGTATTTACACCTCATATTATGAATATCTCGGTTACGACAAAGCTTTGATGGTAAATAACACTGAAAACAACAACTTCCTTCTTTAAAAAGTCGGTGTTTACGAATATATTCTTTGTGTTCTTTAAAGTAAGCTCGAAAAGTTAAACTTACATTCTTGTCTTTCGAACAATCATATAAATTATGACCAAGACTAGACTCGAGATTATTAGTCAGTAGACATAATAAGCATATATTACTCCAGGTTTCAAGCTTATCGATCAGAGCCTGAAGATTCTCTTCCGTCCGAGCGAATTCTTGTCTATTAAGATCCTGGCTTACTTTTAGAATATAGTTATTATTCTCGCAGTAAGAACATCTAACTAAAGGTAATGTACACTGTTCTAAGGTCTTGTTATTAAAATAATTCTCTAAAATTATTCGATAACAAGATCTAGCGGTTAAGAACTCTAACAGCTTGTTGTAATCTAGTCTCTGAAAATCTTCGACAGTATTTACGGGTAGATCTAGTAACTCGGGCTTGAAAACCTTGTTATTTAACGTAGTATTAGTTATGACATAACTAATACTCGGTTTGCCATCCCTCCCGATTCGGCCGATTCCCTGATCTAAGCTTACCAGGCCACTAATCTTGTACAGGTGAATCGAGAAGCGGACGTGAGGTATGTCTAAGCCTACTTCCAGAGCCGAAGTGCCAATCAAAGCTCTAGTACGTGGATTACTAGTAAAATCCTTTAAAATCTCCGATTTATCGTCTTTATCCTTAATACTATAATAACCGGGAATCTGTAAGTGTTTGCTTAAAAAATCCACGCTCTTATAGGTAGAGGTAAAGATGATAACCTTCTCGTCAGACTTTAAGTTTGGATAAATCTTATTATTTAATAAGTCTATAAGAATATCAACTTCAGGCTTATTATCACTAGATTTATCGATGATATTATACGAGATGTTACCTCGAGTAGTCGAGCCTCGAATTATCTCATTGTGAACAACCTTAAAAAAGCGTTCAAGTAATTCTAATAGAGGATTCGGTAAGGTAGCACTTAGAAATACGATCTGAGTAATATACTTAACAACCGTATTTATATATTTAAACATGGGTCTAAATTCCTTCTCGAGTAATAATAAGTGAACTTCATCTAAGTATAGAGTATAGGCTTGATTATTACCCTTCAAATTTATTAAATATTTAGTAAATCTCTCATCTAATAAGTCGTCATAACTTAGAAAGATTAGATTATTAATAAAACTCGTCTCCAGGTCTCCAGGGTCGTATATAGCCGACCTTAGGCCTAGTTCGCGAGATCTACGCAGTAGATCTTCCTTCAGGCTCACTCGTGGGCTACATACGAAATACGTATGATTATTCTGGTTAATAAAACTGGGTAGTAAGAATAATAGAGATTTTCCACTACTGGTGCCGTTAATATACGTTATAAACAGGTACTTGTGAATAATAATAACCTCGAGAGCCTACTTCTGTTGTATGGACTTAAAATCAGCCGTGGAATCTTTGAAGAATTCTCGTAGATAAGTTAATAATGATTTATTATTATTATACTTATAGCTAGACGAATTCTGGGCTATGACGTCCCGAGTTAAATCGATCGTATCAGCCGACGAGCTTATTAAACGAGAAGATTCTAATAAGCGTCGATTGACTATCCTCTCGGGTAGGACCACCGAACTAATTAACTCGGAAACATTTAATTCAGAACTTATAACAGAACTAGAACTAGAAGTTGAATTCGAATCGGATCGACCCTTAGATTTAAGCTTTTTAGAGCTTATATCTAAACTAGAAGTCTGTCTCTTGTGCTTCTTAGCGTCCGACTTGTTAGAACTTTTCAGATTATAAGCTTTAAACGGTAAATTAAAATACTTATAGTACTTAATATTATATTCTAGTGCTCGACTCTCGATAAAAATATTCTTGGTGTAATTCAGGCTCACTTCTCGTCCATAAGTCTTGTTATGTGTTCTAGTCGTGTGATTAGCCTGTAAATCCTCAATCAGGTCCTCTTCCGAGCTAGAGCTATCGACCTCTAACAAGATTCGATGTTTGATAACATACTTTATCAATTGACGATAAGAATTTATTATTAGCTGCTCCTTAATAATCTCTAGTGATCTCCGAGCTAGCAAAGAAGATAATCGATTACTTGTTAGCTGGGTATTGTTATGATGAGTAAATAGATAAGTGTTAGATTCAGAATAGTTAAAATATTCAAACTCTCGGATTAAACGTCGTGTTATGTGCACACACAACAAGTTGTATGTAAACGGGGATTGGTCAGATTAAGGTTTTGAGGCCCGTGCAGCGAGAAGACGTTTTGTGAACACACAACAAGATTAGGGTTATACAATAATCCACGAAATTTAATGATTT